GCTTACGCGGATCATCGAGGCGAGGAAGACCCTCATGAATAACAATTCTAGCATGATTGACCAAAGCACGATCTCTTATTATTCGACGGGCACTATAAGAGTGCTTATTAAGCTCTTCTAAGAGCTTCTCGAAGTCCGCAGATCGAGGTCGTTTCCTTTGTTTCACTTTTATGGTTATCCAGTTATTTACATAAGGATAGACACCGGCAGGAGGGCGAATAAATACGAACTTCGATTTCCATTCGGTAATGTTCGAAGAAAGGTCGTCGAGAAAGGAGACGCCGGATCGACGAACCAGACAATGAGCACCCTTCTGGAGTCGATAGCTATAACAGTAGAAGAAAAATTCGGGCGAAAAATAGTGAACCACTATCTGAGAAACGACTATAAAAGCTATCATAATACAGAGGGCATTGGGAGAAAACTGGTTTATTGGAATACTATACAGGTTACTTATCGACAAGAGCTCGTCATGGATAGGAAAGCGAAGGCCGAAGACAATTTGATCGATAAAGAAAGTATGGCAACCCTGTGGAGGGCGGGCGAAGTCGTTTTCAGGGCCTGGAGCAACCAACTCCCAATCGGAGGGAAGCCCACTAAATCGCCTGAAGCCCTCGATTTGAGCTGCAGAGGCATAACGAAAAGGATTTAGAACGGCCAACTTGGCCAAAGGACAAGCTATAGACACAACCCCTCGAGGATTAAAGAGGGGAGTAATTATTGGTACAGGTACAGGGCTAGTTATATACACCGGTATTTCTAATAACCTAAGGTGAATACCTCGAGGAAATGGGTCAAGGCGAGGAGAATCCCCTCGAGGACTCTTCAAGATCTCCACCAAGCCACCCTCTAGAAGTGCTTGATCATATTCCTCCCAGTCGACTTTCGGGGTAGAGGCATGAGAAGAAGAAGAACGGGGAGAAACATTGGTTGTCCTACAGCCAACTATCTCGACTGAATCGGATTGACTGAGGTCTCTATCGATCAAGTCGTCGAGTGAATCAGGGGAAGAGTCGGAGTGGGAAGCTAGAAAAAAATCGAAGCCCAAATATCAGTCCAGGAAATAAAGCCAAACAAAATAAAGGTCGACTGGTAGACGGTCGACTAAGGAAAAAGAACGAGGATATTATATGTTATGATCTAGTGGATATATCGATAAGTCGACATAAGACAACTCAGGAAAGGAGAAAGGACAAACCAGTATAGGTCGACATGATAAGGAAATCGGTAAGCGACCAAATACTAAGAGCGATCATTAACCAGACAAACATCAGATCAAAACAAAAAAAAGTGCGCCTAGAAAATTCAGCACAAAATCCGTAAAAAGAAAACTTGACGAACAAGAACTTATCATGAACACCAAGATATTAAGAAAGCAAGCAAAACCAAACACCCCAAAAAAAAAAGAGAAAGGGACAAAGGAGATGTCAATTAACAGAAATTGGGAAATGAATTAAGAACTTACCCATTTTACTCATGATTGGCTTGGAGAATTAGCTTGAACGACGGAGTTGTGATAGAAATTCGCCGGAGGGAACGAGATCACCGGAGTTGCAGAGAAAGCTTGAAGTTAGAGAGTGCAAGAAGTGAAAAACGTTTTGAGGAAAGACTCGACTATATTTATATAAAACAAAGATAAACAACGACCGTCAGATCAGCAAAGAAATCAACGGTTAGGATGAAGCGCGGAATACGAAGAGTCGGCGGTTGATATGACGTGCGTCACTTCAAGAATTTTCAAAATTCAAAATTCAAAAGGGGGTGTCAGTGTCAAACTTATCCCTAAGGATAGCTACAGATAAAAAGAAAAGAGAAGCCATCGACTTACTAGATGCAAGGAAATAAACCGTATGATCCAAGTCGAGGACATATGGAAATCGAATCATTTACAATTACTCTTAAGCATTCGGCTGCTTAGAGTACTTTGCGGGGGGGACTAGATGATATAGCCATAATGGAGACAAGTCGGCTCGAGGGCCTTAACCCTAAAACTAGGAACCGGCAAATATCTCGACGTCGGCTCATCAAGGTGTTTAGAATAATCTTCGTGGAATCGACCTACAGCAAACCAAGAACTAATAACACCCCGCACAGATACTTCGAGGTCGACTGTACTTAAGTCGACCTGGCGAAGTCGACCGCAATAAAATCAGTATGCTCTAACTACGATCAGAATCTAGAGGGAATTATCCCTGGTCGAGGTCGACTCCTCACATTTTGACCTAATACACATGACGACGACCCCACATGACTTGTTCCTCATGAACCTGCTGGTACTTCAAAGGGATAAGAAGAATCTAGAAGGTGACTCAGCAAGAGGAGAAGACGAATCGGCCAGGGTAATTTGGACCTCTCAGGACCACCGACCTAGGGTATTTCGGGCACATCAGGTAATTTCCCTCCTATAAAAGGAGAAGAGGTAGCCCTAAAACCCTAACTCCCATTCATTCCATATTCTCCTCTATTGCTGCTCCCTGAGAGCAACTCCTCTCATTCTCTTATTGACTTGAGCGTCGGAGGCTCTACGCCGGAAACCCCTCCGGCGTTGAGTTCTTGCAGGTGTTCTCGCGGTCCGGTAGCAGTTTAGAAGCCATCAAGTCGGATCTGAGCTCATCCTCACCGGTTCGCTCCAGATCTGAGCCCATTTTCATCAGTTCGCTCCAGATCTGGGAAGAGACCCATCAGGGAGAATCCCAGTAACTTTTTAATCTGATTTTGATTCTCGGCTTCTCCATAGATTAAACTCAGGAACATCTATAATTTTGGATTTTGCATAAATTTGGGATGGAATTAGAGGGGGAGATTTTCTGTAATCGAAAAAAAATGAAATCAACCATCTGGCTGCTTTCTCTTTCTTCTTAGTAGTGACCGTCCATTTTCCCTCCAATTTCGTCCGAGGTGGCAATTTTACTTTGCCATCTCATTTTTTTTTTTTAATTTTTTAATGTTTTTATTTTCACGTCGAGCAGGTTGCAAGGCCACGTGCGCAAGAATCGGGCCAGGTCGACATTAATCGACTGAAGATGAGTCACGTGGGCGGCACGTGCAATTTCCGGCCAAAAATCCCCAAAATTGACGTGAGAAGGACTAAAATTGCGCCAAAAAATCTAATTGCGGGACTAAATGTGCCACATACCTATAGAAAAGGACTAAAATTACACGGACATCCAAAAGTCAGCACCAAAAAATCATTTTAGCCTATATATTCATTATAAACTTTTTCTGATAGGTCGACATCTGATTTTCACATTTTCAAATTTCAACTATTCTGCAAAATTATCCGTCCCCAGTTCCCACTCCCAAGTTTTGGGCCTAATCAATTTTGTGATGATAGGCTTTTGTTTTCGCTTCAAATTCTCTTCTAAACGTGTAAACATTCAACAATTTATTAAATTGATTTAACGGTTACAAGCTCTGACGAAATAGTTCTGTAACGGGATCGAAACATTTCCCAATACGTTGTAGCCCCAATACGAACTCGTGCATCACAGATAGTTATTAGTTTCGTAAAAAAGAAAAATGTAAAGAAATTTTGTTATAATAACAAATCTATACTTATATAAAGAGTCATCCTATTTATTAAAATTAGTAGCAAAAAAAATGTCAGCATTAAATGCAGCTCATAAATAGTAGTTTTATTATCTTTCTTTTTTTTAAAAAAAAAATCATACAATTTAATTTATAAATACGCTATAATATAATCATACAATTTAATTAAAATAATAATTAAATATTGAATGGTGAACAAGAATAAGTAAAACTGTTACTTTCTTTTATATCAAGAGATAAATTTATATGCTAAAATTAAGTTTTTATTAGTAAAAATGTTTTAGTGAGATAATATATTAATTATTTTACAAGTTAGATATAATGTGCTCATATTTAATGTTCTACTAAAAAGGCAAAGCTGGTTAAAAAATTTGGAAAAAAACTTATAACCCAATTATTTTTTAGACTTAACGTTGATTAAAAGAGGTAGAAAATAGATAAGCCCTATTACTTTTTAGATTTAAACGGACAAGACTGTGAGAATAACTCATTTGATATATCTGTCAGATGTGGAAAAAAGTTTATAACCCTGTTGTTTTTTAGACTTAACGTTGATCAAATATGTAGAAAATAGATAATAACCCTATTACTTTTTAGACTTAAACGGACAAGGCTGTGAAAACAAAAGTTTATAACTCTATTATTTTTTAGACTTAAAGTTGATAAAATATGTAGAAAATAGATAATACCCTATTACTTTTTAGATTTAAACAGACATGACTGTGAAAATAATTCATTTAATATCTATATCACTTGCATCGCACGAGGTACGTACTAGTAATTGTAACATAACTTATAATTGTAATAATTAGTATTTCTTTTTATCATCATTACATAACTCTACTATGAAATATTTAACTTATTTGAGACTATTATTTGTGAGAAATTCTAACGATTTGTTGAGATTTTTAATGAGAAAAATTCGAAAAAAAATCTCACTCAAAATTCTACTTTCAAATTTAAAATTTCACAAGATTCCTCAATCTAATCAAAAAATTTTAAAAAGTCTCAAAATGATAGAAATCTTAAATGAATACACTCCCTTAATATTTCACTTCATTTACACATTTAAAATTTTAGAGTATTTTTGTAGTATTCATCCAAAATTTAAAAATATTAAAAAAATCAAAATGTCACTCGAATTCAAAATATATATATATATATATAATTATTATTTAATTTAATTTTTTAAATTCATTTTGGTCCCTCACGTTCCTTGGCTGATCTCACGCTAGTGGAGTAAGAAATAAAAATTAAAAACCAAAGTAGTAAATTTCAGCTAAGCTCAACGTACAACCACCCGAAGCACAAGCCAGTGAACAATTTCCGTCGAGGGTTTTACGAGGGTACAGGCGCGAAGCTTTCTCCGATACGTCCATCTTCCCACACAAATGGCCGAAAACGCATCATTTCAACCCCAAGATGAACATCCGGAATCCAAAAGGCAAAAAATGTCCACCACCACCACCTCCAACGACGACGAACAGAATCGTGAGAATCCCCGAAGCGATCCCTCGGAAGCCCAAATACAAGCGCCGCAAGTTCGCGATATTCTTTGCCTACTGCGGCGTGGGCTACCAGGGGATGCAGAAGAACCCGGGCGCCAAAACCATCGAAGGCGACCTCGAGGAGGCTCTCTATTGTCCGGAGCCGTCCCCGAACTGGACAGGGGCCAACCGAGGCGGTACGACTGGGCCAGGTCCGCCCATACAGACAAAGGCGTCAGCGCCGTCGGCCAGGTGGTATCGGGCCGGTTCTACGTCGACCCACCCGGCTTCGTCGAGCGGCTCAACTCGAACCTGTCCCCGCAAATCCGAATTTTCGGATACAAGCGGGTCACGCCGTCGTTCAATGCGAAGAAGTTCTGCGACCGGCGGAGGTATGTTTATCTGATCCCGCTGTTCGCATTTGATCCATCTTGTCATCGGGATAGGGAGAGCGTGTTGGCCAGCGTGGGGTCCGGAAATGAGCGTGTTCGGAAAGAGGAAGGAAGGTTTTGGGGGTTATGGGTAAGTGTAGTTATGAGTCGAAAGGAGTTTCTATGAATGTTGAGGTTGCTCCAGGCATTTCATCGAACGACCCTAGTGCAAGTGCTTTAACTGAAGAGAAATCTGTAATTGAATCCTTGGAGAATAATGATTCTGAAAATAACAAGTATCGAAACTGGGAAAGTTGAGGAGGATAAAGTGGTGTCCGTTGATACTAATAATAATAATAACATTAGGGTAAATTATTCAGAGAAAGTGATCGATTTTGCTCAAACTAGGAAGGTAGTCGCAAATGGAGATGAAAATGTTGAAAAAATGAAGGAGGGTGAAATAGAAATAGTGCGAAAAAATGGCTGATGACCAGGCGAAAATAGAAAAGAGAAAGTTCCGCTATGGAGATGAGGAGAAGGAGAGGTTTAACAGGATACTAAACTACTATGAAGGGACACATAACTTTCACAATTTCACCGCACGAACAAAAGCAGAGGACCCTGCGGCCAAACGATACATTGTCTCGTTCAATGCTAATGTTGTAATCAGCATTGACGGACTTGAATTTGTCAAGTGCGAGGTCGTGGGCCAGAGCTTCATGCTTCACCAAATATGCAAAATGATTGGTCTTGCTGTGGCCATCATGAGGAATTGTTCTCCTGAGTCGTTAATTCAAACTGCTTTTGATCCGTAAGTATCTTTCTTTCTTCATCACGTTTGAAGTGATGTGTATTTTATGTGAGATGTCATGTGTTTTTAACTTTGGTTGCTGAATTCAGGAAGGTAAATATAAATGTGCCTATGGCCCCGGCGGTGGGTTTGTACTTGGACGAGTGCTTTTTCTCGTCGTATAACAAAAAGTGGAAGGACAGCCATGAAGAGCTCTCGATGAGGGATTATGGGGACGAGGCTGAAGAGTTCAAGAATAAGTACATTTATTCCCATGTTGCCACAACTGAGCACAAGGATGGGTCAGTGGCACTTTGGCTGCACTCTTTGAACTACCGTAATTATCCGGATTTACATTTTACTAGGGGCAATGGCTCAGGCGGTGATGGCAAGGGGAGTGGGTTTGTGAATGGTTGTACTCTATCTGATGTGAAACATGTGGAAGTTGAAAATATGGATGAGTAAGTTGACTTGAGTTTTTTATATTCTCGCCGTTTAATGATTAAATAAAAAACAGAAAAAAAAGGACAAGAGTTTGCAATTTTGTATTGGCTTTTCTGAGATTGGTTTTGTCGACCATTTTCATTTGATGTTTAGGTCTAATATGATCTGAAATCTACTGATAGAAGTTTCAGTCAGTTATCAGTTGGACCATGTAACTCCACTGTCAAAAATATAGTTTACTTGTTCTTGAAAGCTTTTGCCAGTTGAGTGTGTTGGATACGGTATTATGCTCGTTGAGTTTTATAGGAACATCTATATCGATATCTTGTCTGTCATTCAACTGTGTATGGAGCAATTGGAGATGAAACTCGAATCTTGAATGCAAGATCCTCTCTTGCAGAGCCAAATTGATATCTTGTATTTAGAAACAACAATATCGTTTTGTTTTCATTCCCCAGTCAATGTGCTACTAAACACTGGGGATGTAGAGGTTTGATTGATACCAAATCTTCAATGCTCTGAATGAGATAATTCGATGAGAATTTGAAACAAAATTAGCAAGCTTGATATTTTTACATTCGTGAGTCACATGACTCAGTGTGTCACCTGGAGCATTTTTCAGTGAGTTTTCATGCTCGAGTCATACAAGTCTATAGCCAGTCCCGATTATTATTAGCCCTGGGCCAAACACGGAATAATGCCCCATTATTTCGTTTATTCTAAAAAAAAAACGATGAAATTTATATAATATCAACAATTATCCAACATTTTTTTCCCAATAAAATGAGGGGTTTATATCATTGATATAAAAAGTAAAAGTCTCAAATGAAAACTTTATTTAATATCAACAAATATCCTACATTTTTTTCCCTACGAAACAAGGGAATTTATATTATTGGACATAAACAGTAGACTCTCAAAGGGAAGATTCATATATGATCAACAATTATCTAAGGCATCTCCAACTCTTATCTTTACTCTAGCGCAGACTTTACCTACTCTAGTGTAGAGTTGAACATTCATCTCCAGTCCTTATCTCTACATTTTACTCTACATTAAATATATTATTTTTTTATTATTTTTTATTTCAAATAGATTGGTATATATGTATATTTAATCTTATATAAAATATTAATTACTCAAATAATAAAAATATATTTTATTTATTTTTATTTCAAATAATTTGCTATATATATGAATATGTAATATTCTATAAATGTTTATTACCCAAATAGCAGTAGGAGCCTTATTTTCATGTCCCGACTTCGGGAACCTCGTCGGCCCACGTTAAGCGAGCCAAGTATTAGCGAAAGTGCATTCTAGAAAGCACGAGAATAGAAAAAGCCGTTCGTGGTGTTTATTTATTATTTCGAGGCCCCGAGCATTGATATTGAGAAGCTCGAGTTGAGGGTATATATTAGTAAAATAAATTTAAAAAAAATCCGTTTACGTGGGTCCCGCAAGGTCGCGTGTGACTTCGGTTTACCGAGAATCGAGTTGAGACGTGTAGATCATTCAGACACGATGTCATGCGGGACATTTATTGAGTATTTCAGAGCTCCGAGCATTTAATTAGAGAAGAGTTCACAGGTGAATAGTAGAAAAATGAGTTGTGTTAAATTTTTATTCATATGGTATCATTTAAATATTAAAAAATTGTAAAATAAAATTATAATACATCAATAAACAAAAGCACAAATTATTTAGCATAAAAAATACATTACACAAATTATTTAGCATAAAAAATACATTACACAAATTATTTAGCATAAAAAATACATTTATTAATACACATTATACAAAAATTTATCAATAATAATAAAACAAAAACAAAAAAAAGAAATAAAAAAATTATAGAGTTATCTACAGTTCATCGCTACATCCAGCGATGCACTGTTCACAACTTTGGAGTAACGCCGAAATCCAGCGCAGCATTGGAGTAAATTTGGACACTACTCCAGCGATAAATCAAATTGAGGCGATGCACTGGAGCTGGTCTAACAATTTTTTTCTATAAAATAAGGGGATTTATATCATTTGAAATAAAAATGGAGCTGGTCTAACAATTTTTTTCTATAAAATAAGGGGATTTATATCATTTGAAATAAAAAGGATACTCTCAAAGGGAAGATTCATATATTATCAACGATTATCTAAGAATATTTTTTCTATAAAATATAGGGATTTATACCATTTGAAATAAAAAGTATAGACTGTCAAAGGAAAACAATTGATTGTCGGATGAATTAATTTTGGAGGCTTAAAATAAATAATGGGAAGAGAAGGCAAAACCGCAGGGAAAGGTTAAAGGAATAAGGCTATGTGATATCAATGTTATTCATTTCCATTTTCTCATTATCCTATTTGCCCTTAATTAAAAGGAAATCAAGGAAGCCCTCCTAAACATCAACCCCATGAAGGCCCCTGGGCCAGATGGTATGACTTCAGCCTTTTTCCATTTTTTTTGGTCTACTATTAGCTCTGATCTTTGTGCATCTGTAAATAGCTTTTTTGAATCTGGCATCATTTTGAAAAGCATGAACCAGTCTTTGGTTACTCTCATCCCTAAATGCCCTCACCCTTCTATGGTTAGTCATTTCAGACCAATCAGCTTGTGTAATGTCACTTACAAAGTCATTTCTAAAATTCTGGCCAACAGATTGAAACCATGCCTTCCATATTGTATTAGTGAAACTCAGGCTGCATTTGTGCTCAACAGACAAATTCTTGACAATGTTATTATTGCAAATGAAGTTATCCATTTTTTGAAATGTCATAGGGCTGGTAAAAATCACTTTATGGCCTTAAAGCTGGATATGTGCAAAGCTTTCGATAGGGTGGAGTGGAATAGTGTGAGTATGATCATGTTGCATTTGGGATTTAATACTCTTTTTGTTAGGTGGATTATGCAATGCATTACTTCAACTTCTTTTGCTTTTAATGTGAATGGTGAGTCTACATGCTATGTGAAACCAACAAGAGGGTTGAGACAGGGTGATCCTCTATCACCCTATCTCTTCATCTTAATTTCAGAGATTCTCACCTATCTCATCTCCTCAGAAGTGGAAAAGGAGAATCTGCAGGGCATTAAAATTAGTAAGAACAGCCCATCCCTCACCCACCTTTTTTTTGCGGATGATACCCTCCTCTTTTGCAAAGCATACATCCCTCATGCTACTACCATCATTCAAATTCTCAGTAAATACCAAAACATTACAGGCCAGAAAGTAAACCTTGCCAAATCCTCCATTTTTTTCAGCAAAAATACCCCCATAACCACTCAAAATCAAGTCTGCCAAATTTTGTTGGGTATTAAACCTCAAACCTCTTCCACTTACTTGGGCCTCCCTCTTGGGATTGGCAGATCGAAAAATGCAACATTCTCTTTTGTGAATCAGCTATTAAGAAAAGAAATGCAAACTGGACAAATACTTACCTTTCTTGTGCAGGGAAAGAGATTTTGGTGAAATCTGTGCTGAGTGCTCTACCCACGTACACTATGTCATGCTTCTTAATGCCTAAATCAATCAACAAAAAGTTGTCCTCCATGTTTGCTAATTTCTGGTGGAACCACAACAAGCAAGGATCTCATGGTATCCATTGGAAAAGCTGGAAATGTCTAGCCTTGCCAAAGGAAATGGGAGGACTTGGCTTTCATGACCTGCACACATTCAACCAAGCATTAATTTCAAAGCAGCTGTGGAGAGTTATTTCTCAACCCCACCTACTGGCAAGCAGGATTCTTAAGGGCAAGTACTTCCCACATGACAGCCTTCATGTAGCAAAGAAGAAGAGCAACAGCTCCTGGCTATGGACAAGTTGGTGGAGTATGAAGGATACTTTCTTAAAGGGGGTCATATACCAAATCAAGACAAGCAGAACAGTTCACATAACAAGCAGAACAGTTCACATATGGAACTATCCATGGGTTCCAAATATTCCAGAACTCAAGCCAAAAGGGAAACAACCAAGGAATAATGAGCTGAACTGGGTGAGTGACCTTATTGACAACTCAGGGAGGAGATGGAATTTGAACCTTATTCACCAATGGTTCCCAAAAGAAGAAGCTGAAGCAATTTTGAAAATTGGTGGCCTTGACCCTAATAGAACAGACACTCTTAGATGGCAATGGAATGCTCAAGGAAAATTCACTGTGACCTCAACATACTCGAAACTGATTGAAGCCCAGTGGAGGCAGATGGATGTTGCATGCTCAAGTTCAGACCAAACAGAAGCCAAAAGAACTAGAAAAAGGACCTGGAGTCTTAAGGTGAAGAATAAAATTAGGCATTTTATCTGGAAATGTCAGAACAACATCCTACCTGTCCTTGAAAACTTGCACAGAAGAGGTCTAACAGTGGATACAACATGCAATCTTTGTGGAGAGAGGGAGGAGACACTGGAACACTTGTTCTTCAACTGCAGCAGAGCAAAACTCATCTGGAGACTAGCACCAGTCTCATGGGAAGGGCTTCAACCTGAAACTTCAAACTTTAAACACTGGTGGACAAAAGTATGCTCTGTTAATCACAACCCGGTGGCAGAAGATAGAATTCAACTGACGAGCTACCTTTTATGGTGGATGTGGAAAACGAGGAACTTATGGCTATTTGAGAAGATTTGGAGATCAGAGATCCACACAGTTAACCTAGCTTGTCTTGACTGGTCTGAATTTGCACATTGTACAGGTTCTTAGTTGGGTTGGTAGTAGGGTTCTTTTTCTTTCCTTTTGGTTTTTGTGTTGTTCCTTTGGTAGTGTTTTGTTAGCTTGCTAGGTCCCTTGGGGGTGCAGTGGCAAGTTAATTTTGTTGCCCTAGTGTAGTTGCTCTTGGCTTATCTAGGTTAGAGTTTGGTGATAGCTTTCGGGATTCAAAGATTACCTTTGCCGGAAGTGATACCTCTCTCTTGTGTCATTTAGGAGTTCGCTCCTCTACTTGTAAAGGCTTAGCCTATAAACGATCTCCTTTTATTTATAAATTCTGCCGTTTCGAAAAAAAAAATAAAATTGTACGTGGTGTTTT